TTTGAGTTGCCATACTGACATAAATGAACATTTGCACGATATTCTAATTTTTCGAGTTTCACCTGTATATTGGAGAAATTCTATGTTCTTTCTACTGGCAGTGTTCCCCAATACCTTGTGCATCAGACATGACACAGTTTTTATGAATGGAAAAATCCAGTTCATATAGTGCAACAGTTGAATACCACTATTGTGTCTTTGCAAGAATGATGGATCATATCAGGGCAAAGATGGGTTTGTTCTGAACTTCCAGCACCAGCCAGAATGGCCATTGGTGGGAGTTACAGTTCAGGAATATCTGCAAAACCATAGTCTTACCTAATATGAATCACAGAATTAAGCAATAAGCTCACAGACGGAACCTAATTGCTTCAAAATACACAGAGAAAATGCATAAGCAGTATACAATCTTTGCCTTTTATTTAAACAGTTTGTAGTCTAACCCATTTTCCCCCTTCTCTCTAACAAATAAATAATTAGGTTAAAAAATATTGTATGAATGGGTGTGTGAAAGCCACGCAAATGGATCTGAACATCATTCACTGCTGAACCATCCACTATCAGCCCCTCCTATTCATGCAGACTTCAACGGTTTCATGGGGACCATGGTGGCTTCTGATTCTGAAGGTTTTCCTGGGAAACACTAGTTCCTTTCCTTTCCTTTAGATTTTCTCTCACTTTCTACCTCTTCTTAAGAGATACTGAGCAAACCTGAAATAATGTGTTTCCAAAAGATGAAATTACATGGTTAATATATAGAGCATAAACATTTCTATCTGATAAATTTTCCAATTAGTTCTTCATTCACTTAGGCTGCAATCACCCATAATGCAAATTTTTTAAAAACATAGTTTTTTATGCAAGCCATACTGGCCTGACGTATGCAGTATTATACTATAATGACTGGACTAAATAATGGCTTACTTCCTGAGTTCATAAACTGCTCGGTGACCAAACCAGAGAAAGCTAGTGTCATTAGCCACAGTGAGAAGATGGATCATTCAGCCAAACCACAGTTATAACTAGTAACATTTTTCCCCAATAGAAGGTTGCTTGAACCAAGTGCGCTGATTTCCCCTCCCAATCATACTAAAGGAATGTATAAGCTGAGGCTGGGTCATAAATCAGGAAGTGCCATAAATGCAGCTAGAGGTGCCAGGTAGAAACACTGTCCTAGAAGAGTACTTTGAAGTCCAGTGCTTGCCTTTCCACTCTTGAAAATCTTCACAAAGTAGAATTAGCATGTAGCACACCCACCTATACACACAGAGGTTTATTTCTGTAAAATACCAGAGAAAAGCTTCCAACATTTCAATAATAAAAATAAGCATCTAAAATGCCTTGTATCTTCTATCTTATTTCCCATTGATCAAGAAAATCTTTCAAAGAATCCAGCCTTCTGCCATAGCACTCATTTTACAGTAAACATTTAAGATGAATCCATCAAGTTAAAAAATTGACACAAATCAGAAGATTTTTATACTAGCAATTTATAGCATCGTCATCTGTCTGCTATGTTTATCAACATTTCAATAGTCACGGGCCATGCTTAACAATTTTGGGCCCCCAAGGCCACAGGAGTAAGTTGTGGATGCAAAGTGAGGACAAAAATATTTTCAAGGAGGGAAGAGTTCATTGAGTTTTAGAGAAATGTTATTAGCAGTACAATTTTGGAAGTTGCAATTTTAAAATGGCAGGAAACCATTATACCAGTTTTGAGCAACTGCAATCAGAGATGTATCTAGGGGATGCAAAAAGATGTATAAGGCTACATCCCTTGGGCTACCAACCTCTGCTGTACATCATCAAAATTATGGCTGGGTGACTCTATAAACTGCTGTAATTTCTACTGGTGTTTTCTCAGGAACAGTATGTAATGCTAATTACAGGAAATATAACTATGACACTAGGAACAGATGGGAAAGAGGATTATAATTGGCATATATTCTTCAGGTAAACATGTTCTTAAAAGCTATTAGCACTGCCTGTTAAGAAACATTAAATATTCTAGGTGTGGGTTGTGAAAAACTGAATTGAAATTTCAGACTTCATAGATTTCAGAATTGTTGCAAATATTATGATTCCTTCCAACATTCCTAACAACTGGTGCAGGAGAAAGGTATGCATGGGCAACTGTGTTCTAGTTTTTAAGTTCCTTAATGAAGAAATTTAACTGCAAACTGAGTCAAATTCAAAACTAAAGTTTATAAATGCCATGTAAAACGCTGCTATGAGTTTATTTGATTATACAGAAAAAAACCCGTATTATATCTCCTCTGGAAAAGCCTACATCCCAAAATGATTCTAGACCACCAGATGTGGCATAGAGGCTTTACAGAGTCCTGAACCAAAGGCATGAAATATGCCAGCTCATACTTATTGCTATGAGACCAAGGGCTGCTCCCCTTTGTTAGAAGAAGCTCAAAGCTCTCCCAGAAATGTAGCAATTGAGGGATCTAAAAATGTACCAGAATCAAAGAACAGGTCTCCTGGTAAGGAAAAACTTACTGAAGTCCATTCAGTAGAATTTCAGCGACAATTTCTGAACTGTATAACTACTATCTGAACCTGGTTATAAGTACTCAATTCCAAACAGCCATACTTGAAATGTTTCTTCACCAGCTTCTGAGTTTATTTTGATTGTAACATTTAACTGATGAGGCTAACATTCTGCTTTCTGCTTTTTTTACTTATCTGAGAATTTTTGATGCTCTACAGTCCTAATCTTATTAGCATTCTGGACATCTGAAAGCCCAATTTTACTTCCAAGCCAAAAATGGAAAGTTACCAATATAATTAAACCAACTTCTTGAGAAATGACACGTACAACAGCATCTTTTCAGAACTACAATGTGAGGAAACAAGAAGCCTGGCAAGAATTAAATGTTGGAGCATATGTATAGCATATTTATAAACAGGTAACCACATGGAGTACTCAAGTGACATGGAATAAAACTATGGGATGGCCTCCTGCACAATTCACATAAAATCAGAAACCTCTATTTAATGGGCTAAGAAATTTCTATTTTTTTCTAATGTTTTCATTTTCATGTTTTGAGCACATTTGTTTCTTTCTATGCTTCAGCATTAGCATCTTAACTACAGAATCAAACATGTCATCATTATGCCAGCAGAACATGAATATGGAAAAAAAAACCTTAAGGCTCCTATATTATGAAATGAATATTACTTTGACTGGTCAGTCATGTTATCTATTATAATTTTACTACGCTTAATACTGGACTATACTGTGTTGATTAAAGATCCAGTTGAAATATGAACTTCTCTACCATATTATGGACCGAATCCAGATCTTGCTGAATTTGTGCTTAGTGAGCAATGCATTTATCTTCGCCACCAGTTCTCTGTCAGGCAATTCTTCCCTCCACTCCACAAACAAACTTAGTTACACAGGAAAAGTAATAATAGACCCAGCATTCACAGCATATAGTGATCCCTTATCTAGTAACTAACTTGATCTGACCCTACTTAGCCTGTTCCAGGTTAGCAAAGAATAACTAGGTATTGCCACCAGCTGTGAGTTTGGACTTTTCAACAGTTCCACCTGACAAAGCTCAAAGGCAATGTACAGAAAACTATTAAAATATAATACTCCAATCCTACCTGTCTATTAATCATATTTATAACTCACTGGATCAATCAGACTCCTGTCAGGTGTCTTACTGAGTTCTATGAGACTTACTCCTAAGTAAAGCCTGCAATGCTATACTCAGCTTGTAGTAAGTCCCATGTACTTCTGAATAACTATGTATAAGATTATACTATGAGACTGGGTCTGCATACCATACTATGCCATGATGTAGTTTTATTTAGTAGTAGCTTAGTGTAATCTATGAACCCAGCCACTGTTGTTTGTAACCATTGTTCACTGTTTAGTGTTTTACGTGCACCTAGCCAATTGTGGCTTATTCAATAAATCCAGTTAAACAAACCAAAAGTTAGTGCAACATGGATGCCAAATCTTAAGTCATATATTGTAGTCGCAGAACTAGAAGTCAGAAAAATAATAATGATCATACATACCCCAACGAGTCTCCATGTTTCACTAATAATAGCATACTGAAGTCGGTTCAGAACAAATCCATCTATCTCTCTTGTTAATTTAACTGGTGACTGTCCTATATTCTTCATCAAAGCATAGGCTTTCTCCACTGTAGAAGGATCTGTTTCTGGATGAGGAACTAATTCAACAAGAGGTACATAATATGGTGGATTTACCTAGACATTACCATTTAAAGAGAGAGAGAAAGCATGTTAATGGATCTATTGCTGTAATCAGGCAACCTTCCTTAGACTGTAATTTTGAAGCAAAAAAAGCATTTGGGCAACATGACTTGATCACCTTGGCCTCAAGAGTCTTGAAGCCCAGATGAATATAAAGGACAATGAAGCAAACTACAGAGATCTTCATGGTGCATTCTGACAATCACTTTTGACAAAGTTTAACCAAGTACTGTTAATCATTCCTTGTTACAATACTGCTGCTCGATATATTTATTGTAACTTAATTTTGTGCCATTCTTTGATCACATCTCCAGGGCAGATTGTAAAACTGTTGTCACCACACATTCAATGTGGGACATTACTTTTTGTATGTTTGTATATCAAAATGGTATCCCCTTGAAAATATTGTATACCACATGCAAAAATTTCATGTAAGATATATAAATCTCTTTCCTCTGACCTCCCATTTAGGCTTGAATAAAACATATCTGTAAAATACCTTGAGATACTTACAGGATGCGCAACTATACATTGCTTCACATGCTTCAATCCAGTGAATAATTTTGTAGGCAACAGAGTGGAGGTTGAACTACTTAGGATAGCATCATTACTGACTATTAGATCTAACTGGGAAAAAATCTTCTTTTTCAGTTCTAAATTCTCAGGTGTGCACTCCTAGAATACAAAATAGTATATTAAAAGATGTAATAGGAGTCTTTTAATTGACAAATATTTCAATAAATTAGACTTTTTTGGAAAAGAAGTAATGCAGTGCTTAGAATATTTTATTAGTTTACACTGTAGTTTTACTAGTCACTGTCTAGTTTACACTGTCAGTTTTACTGACATTTAAGGATTCTGAAGGACTTTTAGATTTAGAAATAGCATATATTATGCAAAAAAACCACCACCTGAATATATAGGAGCAGAGAGCATAGCAACAGAAACACCACACAGCTAGGAAAAACACATTAAGAACTCATCTACTTTAATTGCTCCACCTTGGATACATGAGTTAGGATGGTGATATCATATCAAAAGTACAAGCAGAAATACTTTTACTGCTTGTATAAATAGAAACAGTTTGGTATTAAATACGTTTTATGCTAATTTTATTGATTGATCATATTTATATAGCTGCCCATTTCACAATAAAATGACTTTGGGCAGCGTACAACACTCAATTAAAATACATATAAAACAATCATTAAAACTATAAAAACTACAAAAACGAATGCTGTATACATCTCTAAGACCACAACTTCCAGGATGATGTACTTATGGGAAATCTCATGTATCAAATAAATTGTACTGCCAAACCAGAATCTTATTGCAGAAACTGTATTCTTTTGTAACATTTGCAAATGGCTTATCCTGTAAGTTATCCATTATCAAAAATATCCTTTTTTACCTTATATCTAGATGTGTTGACACATCTTTGTATTTAATATGCAAACAAGGTGATTCTTTATCTTTTTCAGTATCACTGGGTGTTATGTACAGTATAAGTGCATATAGATAACCCAATTACTTTTTTGTCTTTTGTTCAACTAAATCTACTTTCTGAAGCATAACACCATTCCTATTAGATAACACCCCAGTGAAAACTCTTATATTTTATACTTGAAACTATACCACCTAACTGAGAAACCACTTATTACAACACAGGATGTTATGCTCCACATATTGGCAATGATGATACTAACTGTGGTGAAAAAGTAAGTGTGAATGGAATTTTACTAAGTTTTTAAAGTAACAAGATCAGAACAATTCAGTGATAAGCAGGAGAGCCAACTGTAATATACCTTTTACCTTTGCAACAAAAATCTTTGCTTTTCTCCCAATTCCTGGATCATTCTACAAAGTGAGTTACTTTCAAATATTTCTGTAACAAAGTCACAAGGGTTTGAGAGCTGTGAGGATACTTGTTCAAACTAATAAATGAGTTGCATTGAGCAGTGTTTTTATGAAATTCTCCACCTGAAACCCAAAGCCGTTTTTCAGATCTGGAGATAATCACCGAGGTGAAGCTCAACACCCCTGGAAACTCAAGCCGACAATAATTATGCAAAGTCACTGAACGAGCATTTGCAGAGAGCTTCTCTGTTGGTGGGACAATTGTATTCAATTTGTTGGACTGATGGAATAAAAGTCTCTGTCCTCAAGGATGGATTTATGTTCTTGGGGAGACTGACTCCCTGAAGAAGAGAAGCTAAATTAAGCTCTAATCAGGTGTTAATCACAGGTTGTATAATTTATGAAAAGCTATAAAACTTTAGAACCTATTCACAAATAGGTAAAACACAATTTTAACAGCTGGCTCCTCATGAGGGTAACCCTGAACACTTTTTAAAGGACTCTAATATACAGTCAGGTCCAGAAATATTGGAACATCGACACAATTCTAACATCTTTGGCTCTATAC